ACTCTTACTGGTTTTCTTTGCCCAAAGCCTTGCTAACAAAAGATAGGAATACCACCCAGACGATCTCAAAGGCAAAGGCGAGCCTTCTTTCACCATCGAAAAGGCCCTGAAGGACCACAAGCGTCTCGGCGACACTGGTACTGAGATGACCTCCCGTAGCCATCGCACACGTAGCGTGGGTCATGCCGAAGCACCCGGTATCGTCCCATCCGTCGCTACCGATCCGGAAGCATCCGGCGTCGGCCGCAGCAACACTACTGGCAGGAGTGTTGGCGGCGCAATCAGGAAGCGCATTGGCAGCATTCGTCGTCGCAAGCAAGAGGTTGAGGTCTAGGGGATCCCCCTCTTTCCCCGTTCGAAGCGATGCTCCGATGTTCCACACGCACACGTAACGGCATGATACCCCATCCCGTTTGAGTAATTCTCCAAAATTGTACAAATACGCATCGCAACCTGAGGCGTGTTGAGCGTCTCTGTTGTCTTTTTGTTCCTAGGTTCAGATTAGCGCAGATCTGACTCACGTCAGTGGTATATTTTATTTTGCGCAGCATATGGACTCGACTGTATAGTCGGAGTCGTGTACGATAATACGAGTAGTGGCTAGCATATTACGAATAATGATACTTACCCCTGAACGACCGTCGACCAATCTCTTGATTTGAATTTCCTTTGAAGTCGGTAAGTTGTTTTGAATGTATGAATATTGTACTTAATGATTCTCTCCTATCCTCAACCTGCGCGGACAATGAGTGATGTCCAAATACCCAACCACATACCCAATCAAAATGCCTACGCTAAAGACATTTATCCCCAAACCTAGCGAACATCCCACAAAACGCCATTGAAGTCCGACAACAACCAAACTCCACAATGCGCGCTGGAATATGCAACAAAGCGCAATGGAAAAGCGAACGAGTCAAGCAAAGACAACCCCCAATACAACAAGGTGTACAAACCTATACGCCACAACATGCCCGCATCACTGGTGAAGGAAAGAAGCCTCCATTCCATCACATAAAACTCATCTTGACTTCCTTCTCTTGCCCAAAATCATCGTCAAACTCATCAGCCCAAGCATTATGACCTAGATCTCCTGACGCACCACCCGCATTACCCGCGTAAGATTCAGTTTTAGCAGAGCGCAAAGGCGGGCGTTCAGCAGGCGTAGGATCATCCCAAGAAGGCTGAGCATCTGGGTTCCAAGGAGCGCCAGACGACCCGTTTTTACTGGGCGTTGCGGAGTCCCAAGGCGAAGAGGTACCGGAGTGACTCGGATGAGTAGGTAGAGGTGATAGGGGTAACGGGGATTTATTATTGGGAGTCGAGGCGGACACTGGTGGATCGCGGAAAGAAGTGTCGAATGTCATTTCCATCTGACCCGCGCCGGGATCGTCGAACTCGTCGTATTCTTCGTATCGGCCGTTTGAAGAAGATGTCGTCTTTTTGGGATCTGTGGCTGAAACGCCTAGACTGTCGTTGTAACTCTTCGTTTCCCTAAGCGTAGAGTATGGACTTGTTGTCTGCGATGGCGAAACGGTTGCGATGTCGATCTTCATGGGCGGGAGTGTACTCTTGATTTCCTTGATCTCAAACTCGGCTTCGGCGTTATATTCTTTACTTTCTGCGGCCAGAGTTGCTACCTCCTTTCTTATGGCATCGATGTCGAACATGACCTGATTTTCTGCGAGTTTCGCCGGGTCTTGATCTTGGTCTAGTTTCCGATGGCCTGGTGGAACGGCATTTGAATTTTCATCATAGACTTCCCAGTCCTTCTTGTCCTTCTTCTTCTTCGACCACCAGCTCAGTTTACTACCTCTCTTCTCCTTCTCTTGCGCCTTCTTTTCCAGTTCTCTTCGCGCTTCTTCGATTTCGTTGATAAGTTCGCGCTGCCGCACTTCGTGATTCTCAGGATCTGGGTCCTCGATTTCGGCGAACTCATCGGACTCAACTAGCCACCCGACTTCGCGGAGTAACTTGGGCATGGCAGCACGGTAGGCCATGTGGCCAGGGACCAATTCGGTAACGTTGACGTTTTCAATGGTTGGTATCTGAACGGGCGCAAGACCGGCTACGCGCATTACACCGCCACTGGTTGCGCGGAAAAGGTAGCCTATGCAGAGTATTAGTAGTAGAAAGGGGTAGCAGTGTACATGACATACCCAAGATCCAGTCGTTGGTGGCATACCCATTGACAAACCTTCCAGGTACAACAGATCTTGCCCTAACGTACTCGTCATGCTTGGCTACGGCTGGTGTACCAAACATGTAGACGTTCTGTACAATTCCGAATGCTCCTCGGTTCGCGAGTTCCTTTAGACATGAGAAAATGACTCTCGATCCCAGCGAGAAACCGACGAGAGTGACAGGTCTTGTGCCTAGATTGCGATCGATGAGGGAATCTGCAAGAATCAATCCAGCCATATCTGCTCTAGCCTGCGAAACGATCCACGGATTATCGATCAAATAAGAGAGCTTAGTCAAAGCCAGGGGGAGTGTCATGGCAGCCATGAGGGCAGTGAGGATGGTACTTCCTAGCACTTGTTGCAGACCTTGTGTGAGAGCCTAGCATGGTCAATGAATACCTTTTGAATTGCATGTATAAACTCACTTCGGTGGCAAGAATGTTGATTGTGTCACCCATACTCCTGAGCATCTCTGGCTCCCACAGCACGGAATATATGTCTCCCATGATGGGGTCCACAGTACTGTACGGTAAGCGGACGTCATCCACCTTGCCGTTCATCCAGCCCGCCAACGTAATGATGAGATGAGTCCTCTTGTTGTTGTGAAGCGGTCGATACTCGAACGTCTTGACAGCACCTGTTCGTCTGTTCATGGCGCGCACACCAACAGTACTGCCTGTAACTACACCAGTCGATGTAATGATAGCGGCACCTCCGGCACCTGCCAGGAAACTACTCGTGCCTGCTACTCCGATAGTCGTGAAACCCGCAGCGAGACCAGCACCAATGACCGGAGCCAACAGGCCGGCGGACAAACCGATGACGAGCCCACCACCAACAGTCGCAAGACCCATGAATGCCAATCGCTTATTGCGCGCCCGCTTAGCTCGGTTGACCATGTGCTCATCCTCATTCCAGTTCTCTTTATCTGCTTGTTCCTGCATCTCCAAAGCATCTGTAACACGCTTCTCGAAGCGGCAGCTTTCCAGCCAGTCTACACTGAGATACTTTCCAACCTGCTCAAACAACTCTCTTGATCGTGAGTCGTAAACAGAGTCAGCGATGAGCACCAAAAACAGGTCGCACAAGACGGTCCATCGCAGATCAATGTCTAGATTTTTGCTGGTCGGGAGTTGGGATGGTGATCTAACTTCTGGATAATCAAAATCGTCATCTTGATGTTCTTGATATGGCGGTGGGGGTGGTGTTTGTAGGTCGTCTTGCGAATCCGTTGTCGATGCTCTCTTCGATTGTAGCTCCTTTACGGGCGATTCAGGGCGCGGCGATGATACAGACGGTCTAGCAGAGTCGGATTCATTCACCGTCTCTGCGTCCTCCGCTGCCGGGTTCTTCACTCGAGCATTCTGCATCAATGCTGGCGTAAGATCTGCTGGAACAACGCCATGTTCAGACAATTGCTCGATCATGATTTGCTCAGAAGCATTGATATCCATGTGGCCATAGATTTTGACCATGATTTTCTGTGCCCACATCTTTGTTGTGCCTGACTGTAGCTCAAGCAGCTTTTTCATTTTCTTGTTATTTGTCTGGAAATTTGAAAACTTGCGTTCCATTTCCACCATGGCCAAGCGTACCAGTCCAACATATGCGACACGCTGTCCTTCAGTAAGGAGGTTCTTTGTCGCCTGCATTTGCGAGAGCGGATCCCGACCCTCCTCATCCTCATCAGCTAGTGCAGTACTTCTCTCCTTGAACAGATAGGCAGTGTTGTCGTCCATGCTCGTTTGCGAGTCGGCATCGTCGTCCATGATTACTCTGGTGTATCCTTTGGCAGCACCTCCGACGTTGCCATAGCCGTGCATATCTTCCAGTTCTTCCGTGTTTTCCCTCGCGATGAGCCTGTTGTCGTCGTCGTACATGTCGTATCGCGCGTATGCCGGCATCGTCTGCCATTCACCGTCGTCCTCTTCTTCCTTCTCGTCCTTGACTTCCCTCTGCGATTGTATGACTGCATGCTGATGTGAATACTCGGATATGGTCGGGACGCTCGCGACGCTTGTTTGGAGGCGATGTGAAGGTGCTGTATTCGTGCTTGTGGGTGTTTCGGTGGCTTCGGAAGGCTTTGTAGTTTCTGGTGTATGTTGCTTCGTCTCTACTGGCTTGTCCTCGGGTGGGTTTGGGTCGGCTTTCTCCACGGGCTCCTTTACCTGCCCATTGACATGTGGCAGCGCATCGCTTTCCGTTTCAGCACTCTCAGGAACTGTCTCTGGAAGCTTTGCTTGTGTATCGTCCGCCTTGATCTGTTCCTTTTCCTGGCCCGCAATCGCGACCTTGTCCGGGCTCGTGGGCGTGGAAGCTACGGCATCCTCAAACTGCTCCCCCTCGGAATCCGAACTGTCTTGGACGGGCGTACGCGGCCTCCGCTTCCTGATCGGCAAGCCAAAATCATCGTACTCAATCGCTTCATTATGTTCCTTCTTCACCTCCGCGGTCTCGGCATTATTTCCCTCATTCTTGGGGGCCTCGGCGGGGTTCTCGCTCATACTGGTGGGGACTACCGTGAGAAACGCATGGAGAGACAGGTTCGCAGTCGTATCAAGAGGAAAATGCGCAGGGAGCCGCCGTAGGAAAGAATTCAACTATGTGTCCGAGAATATACAAGCAGGCGTGCAATGCCCAGAGGCGGATTTACTAAAGCGGAGAGCAACGGCAGACGGTACAAGCCGCAGATGTCGGATACCACGGTAGCGTGGCACGCGTGGCTGGTGCGCTAGATTCCGCCCTTGGCTCGAACTTTTGGCCGCATCCAACTTTTTTCCCCGCGAACAATCAACTGCTCCAACACACAAAGTCGCAATGAAGTTAAAGCGCGCCAAGGTAGCCAACTCCAGTCTGTCACAGCCACCTGAACCATTTACTCACCCTAAGATAGGCGTACAAGAAGCAGCTCCATCAATACGAACTCAACTTCGGCTTCCGCGAACCCTATCAAGTCCTGCTTGATTCACAGATCCTCGAAGATGCCTACTCGTGCAAAATCGACCTCCTCGCGCGACTGCAAAAGCTGCTTGGCGCGCAGGTAAAGCCCATGATCACGACTTGCGACATGCGACACCTCTACAACGCAGAACCGAAGAACGAGACCCTCATATTACAAGCCAAAGAGTACGAGCGCCGGCGGTGCAACCACCAAGACTTGGAGAAGCCGCTGAGCACACTGGAATGTCTGAGCTCTGTAGTGGACCCCAAGGACAATGCGACCAACAAGCATCGATATGTGGTTGCGGCCAACGACCCGGACACGCGCGCAAAAATGCGACAAATCGCCGGCGTACCAATCATATACCTGTCCAAGTCTATAGTGCTCATGGAGTCTATGGCTGAGGCGACGGAGCAACACCGTGAGCGAGAGGAAAAGTCAAAGTTCAAATTGGGGCTCAAAGGCCAGCGGAAGCCAGACGAGGCGCCCAAGAGGAAGAGAGAAGACGAGGGACAAGCTGGACAAGGCGATCAATCTATTGAAGATCAGGCTACTGGAGACGCGAGGCCCAAGGCGAAGAAACGCAAGGGGCCCAAGGGACCTAATCCGCTGAGTGTCAAGAAGTCGAAGAAGGAAAAGACGGCCCAGCCAAGTGCTACCAAGAAGGCGCGACCATCCACATCAGAGACCGACGGTGACAAGAAGAGAGGCGAACGTGAAGAATCTGCGCCTCGCAAGAGGAGAAGGAAGCACAAGTCCAAGGCTGACGGAGGCGGGGATGCGCCGGATGGAGGAGAGCCTTCAGAGCCAGCTTCACCATGATAGCTGGCAAAAGGTTTAGGTTGAGGTCTGGATCAAAATGCGATACCCGAACCACTGGACACCGTCAGACCAGATCTGAAAGCAAAAGTTGAGAGGGCGCAACCTACCCCAGTTGTATGCCATTTATATTACAAGATAATTAGGGTGCGCGCGGTGAGGAAGAACATGTGCCTAGGGAGCTTATACTCTTTTGCCCTGTGCAAGGAGATCAGAGACTTTGGGCGGAAGGATAAGCGCACTGCGGTCATTGCGCTTCACAAACTCGACCACGACTTCAGCCGTCTTTTCAGGGAGGTCTTCGTGGAGGAAATGACCAGCGGCGGGAAAGACTTGGAGTTGGAATTTGCCTGCATTATATTAGATACCACACACAAAAGCAACAAGTCCGTAGAACATACCCTGCATCTGTCCAATCATCAGTTCCTTGTCCAACCTGTCGGTTCCAGCGAGCAGCAAAAGCTTGGCTCCTCTTCCACTGAGGAACTTGCTGCTCATGCCAGTGAACCAATTCTCCCAGTATGGTTCTGTGCTCGCAAGCTCTGTCCGCCAAGCCCAGCGCCCATCTGAGTTTTGTAACAGCAGGCTCGGTACGCTTGCTCTTGCCGACTGTGGGTTGCGGATCGTCCGTGATCGTATATGCCACTCGATAGCAGCAGGAAGCGAAGGAAACGACTTGGGCCTGCTCGCAAGGTACGTGTGCATGTGTCCCAGCGTTTCCATGGCTGATCCTTCGACGACATCAAGCACTCCAAAGCCTAGTAACTTACTTCCCAGTAGGCCCTTGTTCGCCGCATCAGTAACAACAGCACCGCCCAGACTGTGCCCTATCAGGACGACCTGAGGGAGTTCTTTCCAGCTCATCTTGCTCTGGGTGAGCGACAGCATGTCCACTAGGTCTTCACTAAGCTGCCCAATGCTGAGGTCGTTGTCCACCTCCCCACCAGCGTTCCATACTACACTTCCATGGTCGCGTGCTTCGACAGCCAGTATCCCGATTTCTGGCATAGCCCTGCGAATCTCCTTGGCCGCCAGCGCAAAGGTCATTGCCGAGCTTCCTGCGCCATGATGAAGTACTACCAAGGGTGCTTTGGCTGTCGCTGGTGGTGTGAGGTAGACATGAAACTTGGCATGTCCTGACCCATCCCTGTCCTGTTCAAGATAGAACTCTTGGGCATAGTAGTCGGACCAATGTATTGCGGGGGCGGGCCTTAGTGTATTTGACGGTCTGACAGTACCGGTGCTAGACATTGACGATGCCGAGGACGAGTCATCTTCGTACTCAGGAGGCTCCTCCTGCAAGGGCTCTGGCGGTGGCAGGGAAGAAAGTTTGGTCTTCGCGAACTCTCTAGCCAAGCTGGACATGGTGTGTGGCTTGGACGAGGCTGTTTGTGTCGGAAATCAGGGTTTGGTGAAGCGTGGAGATCCGCACATCGGTGATTGGACAGCTAGCGTGTCTTCAGCTTTCCGATATGTCGTGGCCTGGAGGCGTGAGGGGAATTGACACGGGTGGGGTCCTATCTGGCAGATGGCAGGGATCAACGCCAAATGTCCTAACACGCAGCCGTTCGAAGGAAGAATCGATGCATCGCGGACCCCGTTTCGCAATCCAATGACGCAGCGGCGTCTAGACGACAGTGAAATACGGCGCAAGGCTGGGCGTACCGTCGAGCTGGTTGGCGAATTCACGGATCGCTTGGAGATTTCCGCGGGACGATCTAGGCTTTTGATGTGCCGCTAGTCGCGAACCCGGATGGATGTGATAATGACGTCGGTCGATCTTTGTCTTAGCGTCCCAGCCGCGAGTAAAACCTCCACGCCCCCAGTCGCATTATGAATGCTTCACGAGCTTCGAAGAGCTCTCATCTTATCAAAACTTTCCAGGACTTCTTGCAGAGTCTTTTGCATCCCTGACAACTGGTATTGTTCGCCTGAAGTGTTATATTGCAACTGTTTGCAGCTCAGCAATAGCTTGGAACGCCCAGCATGTGGAGCGGCAAGGACAATGGAGACCAGGACGGCCTGAGGGCTGAAGAACCACATCCAATTCCCAATGAAGATGGAGCGTCGAGGTCATCCAGGAGAAGTCATCAACCATCGAGGAGAAGCGAAGAGCCAACCGAGAGGACCCGGCTTCTCGACCGTCCTAGGCCACCGCCCAATTCAGACGGCTACCTTGACCCAGATGATCCAGCAGTATGTTCTCCAGTCTTCATACAAAGTGTTTATCTAACCATGCCAGGTATCTCCATACAACCTCTGGACGGTTCGCGCTATGCGCTACCTGACCATCCTCTTCCTCGTCATCACCTTCTTGTGGTGGGTACTATTGCTGGTATCCATCTTCGTCTCCCCTCCTGGCCTACACACTCGCGGATCCGGTTTCTTCGACTTTGCCTACACATGTCTAACCCTCGGCAATCTCCTCGTCGCAACCATCTTCTTCGTTACGCCTGCCAGAGGTCTGCGCATCACCACAGCCATCATCGCCGGACTTTTGGCTGTCGACATGATCCTTATCCTAGCCGTACCACGCATCAGGCTCGAGGAAGGTTGGGTTGGTATTGCAAGTGTCATCTGGGCTTTCGTCATGGCTGTCTGGTGCATTTTGACTGACCGTGTCGTCGCATACGGCAAGCACGAAGAGGAGGAACGTCTTACCGGTCGCGCCGAGACACGCCGCACACTGAAGGAATGGATCGCTGTCACTGTCGCTACAATCCTCACCGTCATCTTCATTGTCATTGTCATCTTAATGACCGGAACTCTCGGCATGCGTGCTCGCGACGCAACACTAAAGATGTATGGCGACCGAATCCTTGTAGACGGCGACAAGTACGCCGTGCATCTCGCCTGTGTTGGAAACGCGTCCGAAACCAGCGGATCCAAGGACCCTACTGTTCTCCTCGAGGCCGGCGAGACGCCACTGGAGTATGACTTCGAGCACTGGGCTTACGCAGCTTACAAGAACGGTACCATCTCCCGCTACTGCTACTGGGATCGTCCCGGCTACGCCTTCTCCGACAATGCACCCTCACCACACTCAGCCGGCATGTCCGCGGACGCTTTCTCCGAAGCTCTTGCCAAGTCTGGAGAAGAGGGACCTTGGATTCTCGTTTCCGCTGGTACTGGCAGCATCGTTTCCCGCATCTTCAGTTCGCGCCACATGAAGCAGGTTGTTGGTATCATGATGGTCGACCCCCTTCACGAGGACCTTCTTCACCGTTACGGCGGCGCCGGACGTGGCTTCATCCTTTTGGCCTGGGGTATCATTTCGCCCCTTGGTACTGTTCGTCTTGCAGGCGCACTCTTCAAGGGTCGCACACGTGAGGACCGTGTATACGGTCGCAACGCATACCAGTCAGGCAAATACATCAAGGCGCAGCTGCAAGAGAACCTCGTCGCAGACAGCCTTTCCAAGAACGAGGTCTCCTCTGCTAGGAATATCCAGAGCGCCAACACTCCGCTTGTCGTCGTGTCTAGCGGCATCGAAGTCAGGAGGGACAGCGAATGGGAGCGAAAGCAAAAGGACCTCACTACTCTGACAGACAACCTAGTCAGCTGGGATGTTGTCAACAAGGCGCCTCACCAGGTTTGGAACACACTCGATGGACGCACTGTCATGGAGAAGCGTCTCAAGCAGCTCGTCAAGGCTGCGCACAAGATCAAGAGCGAGACTGTGCCCGAGAAGGAGCAGTAGGAGTATCCATCTACAGCGGCGATTATGCTTCACAACTTAGTGGACGCACCACCGTGTAGTAGAGATGCAATTGTGGAAAATCTTTCTTTTCCAAAGTTGATTTTTGTTTATTGTTATCGGGTTTTCCTACGCATACCCTTAGGCGTTGCATATTGAGTTCTTTTGTTTCCTTTTATGTAGCATGAGCACATACCAGATATTAGTCTAATGTTTAAGACCATGTTCGACGACCTTGACGTTATACAAGTCTCCACTAATACCATGCAAAGTGTAGTAATCTTTATCAGCCTTATATATTGGGTCTTCTGGGTATTCTCCATCATTTTGAATGCCTACCAGCCTCACGTTCATAATCATTCAAGAGTGAGAGTTTTCTTGGAGGCATATATAGGCTTCTTCAGGACTTGTTGAGGCTGTCTATATAAACTACACAGGCGGTTGATTCCCTTCACCTGCGTCTGAACTTTGATTTTCCAATGACTGGTTTCTTGACCACAGCATCCTCGTCCACATCCTTCTTCTTTACCACCCCTGCCTTCTTGACTATAGGTCCGTTTTCCTCCTCTGCAATCCTCCGGTCCTCATTCGCCTTATCGACCGCCATCTGCGCCTCCAACTCAGCTTTCCTGTTAAATTCGGTCTCCATGATACGTTTGTCCCTGGCAGAGTAGCCTTTTTCCTTGATACTATAAAAGACAGCACCCATGTCTGCCAGCCAATGCGGATCAACAGACGTAACACATGACATGTACTCTTTGCTCGTGAGAATCAACTCATGATACACGACGTAATCAGGCAAGTAACCCAAGCCATACAGAGCAGAAGTAGGATGAAGCTGGATAGTAACACTGGTACGAAGGTTAATGTACTCGCCTATACCCTTCACCTTGGCAGCTTGGTGGTAGTAGCCCGAGCAAATGCATTTGCGAATAACGTCCCAGTCGGTGCCGCAGGAGACGAGCTTCATCTTCTGCTTGGACATGATGTCGTAGATCTGATCGCGAATTTCCTTGGCACGACGTAGCGCTTTCGGATGCAAGAAATGACGGACACACCAGCCATCGGAGTAGCCGTTGACTTTCCACTGTGTGTAGACGTGAAGCAGGGTGAGGTGATCGGACTCTGGGACGAAAAACTTCTCGCGCGCAGCGTCTGATTCTTCCTGACGTTCTTTGGGGCGGTAGAAGACCGAAGGGACGGAGAGCATGGCAACGATCGTGAGCATTTCTTCGCTGCATTCGTATTCCGTGGCTGTGATGATGAGTTTGGCGAGAGACGGATCCATGGGGAAGGCTGTCATGGTGCGGCCAAGATTGGTAAGATTGCCGATATTGTCCAAGGCGCCGAGAGCCCATAGATCGAATAGCGAGGTTGTTATGGTGTCTTGGGGTGGCGGGTCCATGAAGTCGAAGTCTAGTAGGTCGCGGACGCCAAGTGATTTGAGAAGGAGGACGGTGTTGGCGAGGTTTGTTCGTTGGATTTCTGGGATGGTTTGAATGTAGAATTCGTCTCGGAAGGCTCGCTCGGTATATAGATGGAAGCACTTTCCTGGCCCGGTACGTCCAGCGCGTCCAGCACGCTGAGAGGCGTTGGCTTGCGAAATGGGGGTAATCTGAAGTGTGTCCATGCCCATCTTTGGATTGTAGACTTTGAGCTTGGAAAATCCCGCGTCAACTACGTACATGATGCCATCCACTGTCAAACTAGTCTCTGCAATGTTGGTAGCCACAATGACCTTGCGTACACCTGGTGCTGCTCTGTCGAAGATCTTTGCTTGCAGATCAGCAGGCATCTGACTGTAGATGGGGAGAATGCTAAGTTTTGGCGGATCGTTGAGAAGCTTGAGCCTTTCAGCTACAAGCTCACATGTGATTTCAATGTCTTCCTGGCCAGTCATGAAGACGAGGATATCGCCAGGTCCCTGGGAGACATGTATGGCAAGGACCTGTTTGACCGCAGCATCGACATAGTCGTCGCATGGCGATCGCGAATATTGAATGTCAACGGGGAATGTTCGCCCTGGAATTATAAATTCGGGAGCTCCTCCGTAGAAGCGCGAGAAGCGTTCCGAGTTCATAGTAGCTGATGTGACGATCAATTTCAGGTCTCTTCTCCGCGCCAGCACCTTCTTGAGCAGGCCCATCAACACATCGGTGTTCAAAGCTCTCTCGTGGGCCTCGTCCATGATGATACAGGAGTATTTGTCCAGGTCTGGTTCTACCAGAGACTCTCGGAGCAACACACCATCCGTCATGTATTTGATCTTAGTCTCCTTGCTGGTGCAGTCCTCGAAACGAATGGCATATCCGACCTGACCACCCAACTTGACCTCCATCTCTTCACTGACGCGCTTTGCAACACTCATAGCTGCAACGCGACGAGGTTGTGTACACCCGATAAGTCCTTGCTTTGCGTAGCCATCCTCAAACAGGAACTGAGTCAGTTGAGTCGTCTTTCCCGAGCCCGTCTGACCGACTACGATGACGACTTGGTTGTCCCGAATGACGCGCAGGAGATCTTCGCGGACTGCAAAGGCGGGAAGATATTGTCTCTGCTCCCGCAGTGTTTTGCTTTTACTGAAAGCGCTCGCACCCTCTTGCTTGCTGAGATGTTGAGCAAACTTGCTACCGCCCTGTTTCTCCTCGTCTTCGGGCCCTGGGGCGGCACTATCCGTGTCTTCCTCCTTGACGCCCATGATGTTTCCTAGTGTGGTTCCCTTGGCACTTGTAGCCTCCTGGGTCTGTTTGGCACGCTCTTTCTGCTGCCGTTTCTCCTTGACAACACGACTGCCGCGCCTACTGAAGACAGCCATGTCGCTCTGTGGATCGCGAACTGCTGGAACAGGGTCGATTTGCTTTGTGAAGACGGTCTTGCCGTCCAGGAATGGGGGCTTCAGATCGTGGACAAGGATATGGACGCGCATGGCATCCTCGTCGTCGTTGAAGTCGTCGTCAAACGTCCTTCTTTGGGCGACTCCAGACTGCAGCATGCGGTTCGTCTCCCAAGCGTCCACGTCCTTCTGCTTTTGTTGCGCCCTCATGCTGGCCCGGTTGTTCAGTTTCTTCTCAGTGAGAGCAGCCTCTCGTTGGGCATCGAGCCATGTGCTCTCAGCACCACCAAACGGGTTGTGGGTGTCGTCTCCGAACGTGTGTCCATTCTCTTCGCCGCCGTACCAGTCGCGATCCAGGGCCATGGAATCAAAGTCTTCGACCAGCGGCTCTGGGCCATCGAAGGATTTCTGCGACGGGTCTGCGCCATTGTCCTGCGACTTGGGCGGGTGCGCCCTCGAGGATGCTGGGTGATTTGGCTTGCGGAACTTGGGGCGGGGCGCGATGGAGTACTCCTCGGGGTCGAGCTTGCGCCGCTTTGGGCTGTGGCCGCGTTCCATGGTGTGCTGTAGAGGGGGCGGTGTGGCGCGTTGTTGTGGTTGGAAAGTCGGCATGTCCAGAAAGTTGATGCTCGGAGGTCCGCAGTATCGATAGGCGGGCCAGGAGCTTCGGCCAATCGTTGCGGGGCGCCCAAAATTATTTCCAACTTTTGAAAAAGTTCCCCACGCGCCTTGCACTTGCGCCCTCACTGCGCATTTCACTTCACACCACCAGCGCAATGTCTATGATTACGGCGACAACATGGGTGCCGCGTGGCTTTGCGGCGCCCTTCCCCTCAAGATACCAATTCGACGAGGACGAATACGAGCGCATCTCCAAGCTGGCCAACCTGCAACTCGAGGACGCCAAGGAGGAGCTCGAGGAGGCACAGGCTGAGGAGAAGGTCAAGAACGGCACCTCGTCCAAGGCGTCCAAGAAGGATGATGAGTGCGTGCGCCCGAAAAATCTATTTCTTCCATGCTGACAAGTCTCGAGGGACGATGATGACGACCTCAAGGAATACGACCTCGAGCACTACGACGACGATGTTGCCGAAGACCAGGGCGACACCATGGCCATGTTCGGAAACGCAAAGAACCTAGTCTTCCACGAGAACGACGAGGACGATCCGTACATCACCATGCAGGGCGGAGAGGAAGAGGACGAAGAAGATCGCGAAGAGCTTCAAATCTTGGCTACAGACAACCTAGTTTTGGCTGGTCGCATAGAGGACGAAGTCGCCCATCTCGAAGTCTATGTATACGAGGACGAGGATGACAATCTCTACGTGCACCACGACATCATGCTGCCTGCCATCCCGCTTGCCGTCGAATGGTTAGATCTGCCTGTGGGCAAGTCTATAGGCACGAGTGAAGGCAGGGGCAACTACGTGGCGATTGGAACCATGGACCCCGATATTGAGATCTGGAACCTGGACGTGGTAGACAGCATGTATCCAGACGCAGTACTGGGACAAGGCGCCGAGGACAAGGCGGATAAGCCTAAAAAGAAGAAGAAGAAGTCGAAGAAGGCCAACGACGAGTTCCACGTCGACTCGGTCCTCTCACTTGCAGCAAACCGACAACATCGGAATTTCCTCGCTTCTTCATCCGCAGACAAGACCATCAAGCTGTGGGACCTGAACACGACAAAGTGTGCCAAGTCATACACGTACCACACGGATAAGGTCTGCTCCGTAGCCTGGCATCCCGTCGAGGCCACTGCACTGCTTAGTGGTAGCTACGACAGAACTGTTGTGGCAGCCGACGTGCGTGCACCCGACGCAAAGGCGCCACGATGGGGTGTTGAGAGTGATGTCGAGACTGTGCGGTGGAATCCTCACGACCCCAACTACTTCTATGTAAGTCTTGTAACACGAGTTCCATCACGTCGTACTGACAATCCCAGGTCTCTACTGAGAATGGTATGATACACTACCACGACGTTCGCAATGCGCCAAAAGACCCCTCTGCCTCAAAGCCGGTATGGGTATTGCAAGCACATGACGAATCCATCTCTTCATTCGACATCAACCCAGTGATACCCGGCTACCTGGTCACAGGCTCAACAGACAAGCAAGTAAAACTGTGGAACATCCAGGACAACGGACCAAGCATGGTTGTTTCACGGGATCTTGGTGTTGGGCGCGTCTTCTCAACATCCTTTGCACCCGACAAAGAAGTCGGTTTCCGGCTGGCAGTCGCAGGAAGCAAAGGTGCAGTACAGATCTGGGACACGAGCACCAACGCAGCCGTACGTGCAGCCTTTGCCAGCAAGGTGCCTGCGATTAGAGGAGATGGCAAGGAGAGGCTCGTGGGTCTTGAGGAGCAGGACACAGACTCTGATAGTGAGGAAGGCGAGAGCGACGACGAGGGCGAGGAGGAGGGTGCCGAGAAGGGCTGGGAGTCGATGGAGGAGTAGACGATGATACCCTGGGCATATAGGACCTACAAAACGTGGCGAATGTACCAAGATCTGATACCATTTGCACCATTACCTACATGTTGCACAATCAAGCTATTTGTGAAGCTTGACCCCGCAACGCTCGAGAGACCCTTGTACGGTGGTGTTTCGCGGGTCGCATTCGCGAGTCAGGTCCCGCACGCGTTTCAAAAATTGCCCGACGACCTGGACAGCTCGCCCTTGCTTTTCAGCTCCTTTCATCTCATCTGAATCGGGTAGCCTCATCGTGTCGCAACACGGTTCATCGTTGAACGTTGTAATGACATCACCATCACCATGAGCAACGGTAAACGATAAACTCAAATTCGTTTTCAGTGCCAGCGCCCGAGCGTGACGAAGCAAAGTGAACGAGCGGGCGAACTCACACCACGCAGCCGACAAGCGACCGGCTGATCTGCCTGCGTTTGCAGCTTAGGGCACCAACATCTCCACAATGTGGACCCGACGACGACGCTGCTTCAGAGTCTCGATCTCGCAAGATGACGGCGAGATCGTCATTCCCAAGGTTCCCTCGTCTCGGCCCTTATCAGTTTCGAAACCACCAAGGCCACGCAAGGCAGAAACCTCGGAGGGTCAAAACCATCAACATGCCATCGGTCCCTTTGATGATGACTGTCATTCGTGCGTCCCTGAGGTACGATTGTGGCACCGAGTGAGAGGCCTGCTTTTGGCGCTTCTGCACAAGGTTCGAGAGTGCCAGGTGACCGGATTAGGAGCGGGTTGACAGATTGCGCCGTCGCCAACACAACCACGGTACCGATTTCGCTGGCATCGGAGCTTATCCATATCCCATGCTATGCGTGGTGAGCTGTCTAGGCAGAATGACAGCTGTGCCACCGGCCTCCGACTGCAATTTTTATTCACCTATCCGCCATGCACCCAAATCATCTTACATGTCAATGCCGTGCGACAAGATAGGGAAAGCCTTTCATTCAGCTCGGTAGTGGATCTCTGATTGTGGGCAGCGTTGAAACAGCGGGCCTTTGGAGCCCCAACGAAAGCGTGCGGATCAACTAAACAGGCCAACGAGCCCCGGCTCAATCTGAGACGCATGGGCGGCAGATGCACTCTCTGCGAGGCAATCCCATTCGCCAGCTATAGAAAACATAGTGCCCGCTAAACTTTGCCGGGCTGTGTCGACGCCACTAACTCAGCATCCCAGGAACCAATACACTCTGATTTGCTGCTTTTTGCTTGGTTCTGGCCTTGCCCCGGTCACTCCTACCAATCTTCGAGAGACATGTCGACGCGGCTTGGTTAGCCTGCCGCCCCGGGGATGCTGGTTTTTCAACCCATTCAGTCGCTCTATCGCGCGCCCTCTTCTTCAGGCCTTCTCCCTTCCTTTGCCTTACGCGCTCGTTGCCTTCCACAGCAGCTATCACTCCCTCATTTCGCGGCCCGGTGTTCGCTCCTTACGACACAGCTGGTCTCTACACTCTTTGACAGACTATCCTTCTTCATATCCACGATTCATTCTTCACTTCATCACTACGCGCCCCAGAGCCAACATTAAGAAAACCCAAAAGACCATCAAAGGAACCCAAGGACTCGATCGGAACCTTGGAATCAACTGCGCCGGACCCCAAGCCAACATCTTAGCGTCATCCGTACAACAGATACGACTCCCAAGTCCAGTGCACTGTTACACTGATAAGGTCACGCGTCTCAAATACACCACCGAAAGCACAGCGTGATCTTTTCCAGATTCTTTCTAGAACAACGGAGCAAACGCATTAGTGCTACTCTAGCTCGCGACTGTTTGGACCTCGTGCCAGCACCCAAGCGCAATCTACATCCGGCAATACCCCGCATATCTGCAGCTCACCTAGATAGCGACCAACTACAGTCACCGCCTGAATTACCGGCCCCAGGACCGACAGCTGGACCCTTATTTGCAATATCGCACATCTACTTTGAATTAATCCATCAATATGTCTCTTGCTCGTGCCATGACCAGGCGCATTAAGCGGACTGACGACCCGAAAGAGTCTCCGGTATCACCAACTCGTAGCCAGAGCGTCAAAGTCCCCAACAACTTTGACCGTTCGAAAATATCCCTTCCTATCGCCCTGGTATCCACTACCAACATGCTTTCGTACAACGCCCCCGACATCTCGACCCTCAGGAATGTTTCTTCATCAACCTCTCTGAGCCACTCTTCGGCAGACGACTCGGACCACAGTGTGTCAACACGCTCCCGAGCCTCTTCCCATGGATCAAGGGATACTACGCTTACGGATGCTTCTTCCGTGGAGTCTTCACCCAGCTCGCCCGCGCCCAACCACCTTTCTGGCTACTTTTCCTCCGCTGGCAAGCAACTCAAGAAGTCTGCGTCAACCACCAGTCTCAAGCAAGTCAAGGAGGAGCCAGTAGAGGCTGTGCCTGCTATTCCTCAAAGGGCTCTTTCGCACAGCAAACGTGCACACGAGCGACTGGCGCACAAGCGATCTCTCCAGAACGTCGGTACTCGTGGTAGTGTGAACTCGCGTGGAAGCGTTGGTTCTGCACGTCACTCTCGCGAGCAGCGATCTTCACTTGACATGTTCAAAGGCACGATTGAAGAAGAGAATCACCCCTTTGGCCGCGAACTGGAGCAACTCAACGAGGTTGTTGAGGAATTCGGCGGCGTAGTACGAGATGCAGAGGCCGAGGCTGACCTTTCGGTTATGCGCTCAAAGAACCTCGCGTCTTTCTGTGCTGCCGACTACCTCTCAGAGATCCGACCACTTTTCAGCCATCGGTTCGGCGTCCCGCACCAAGCTCCTCCCATGGCTTGGATCTGAGAAGTTTCTTTACTGTGCTTCCTGGACGGCCTCTTTTGCTCTCGGCACTATACCTTAGACGATGTCTTACGCTCTCGCTTCCGTGTATATACTTGCGGACTTTGATCCCACCACTCCTTGGTCTAATTCTAGTTTTTCTTTGTCTCATATTTGATCTGCTGGCATGGTTGGAAGGAACACACTAAGGCGTTCCGGAATACCAGCGTCAAGCTTGGGCACTAATCCCACACTATCTCTAACGAATCTTTCACGTTTGTCTTGTACGATGTTATTGAGGCGGTCAGCCGCAGGCGGAATCGGAGGAACACGATGCATGCGTCTGGGTCTGCTGGACGTGTAGTGGTTACACTGCGTTCATGTCTGACACAGACGATCATGCTTCGGAATCAAAATGTACACATACACCTGTCCATCCCTTGTGCACTTGATTGTGTTTGCCTAATCGGTGATGTCCTTCCGCTATCTTGTTATCTTACAGTGTCCATGGGACGTGCTGGATCCGGAAGGTGCCATTTGAAGTATGGCACCTGCCAAAATCACCGTAGCGATAGCCACATGTGAGACTCAAACACAGGCAACAACGACGAAGCATGGGATGGCGTTTATGCACCATGCATCGCGCTCCCGAGATCGAGCACGCTGCGGGAGGCAGGCATGGAGACAAGGATGGCTCTAGCGTGATCCGGAATCGGCGAAACACCTCGGCATCCTTGCCTTTGCATCTCAAACTTTTGACCAGTACAACGAAGGAGAGATCCAATTGAAAGCCACGCCCACACATACACACACACCCAAGATGATATGTCGAACCTGTCTCCGCGCCGCCTCGCGCGCACAAACAACCCCATTCCCACGCCCACAACAAGCCTCACGCTTCCTCACCACCACAGCGCCCCTCCGCAACGCAACACCAATCTCCGCAAGCACCGCAACGCAATCCGCAGGCCGCCAAGGCGACTCGACATCCTCGCACACACCGCCAACCGCAACTTCTACATCCGCCGCACAGCCTTTTAGCGAGCCGTTAACGCCAGCTGCGAGTCCGGATCTCAAGGCCACGGCTGCGGAGGCTGCAAAGAAGAAGGCTGCGCCGCTGGTAAAGAGCAGTATACCGGCTGGACAACCACTCAAGGGATTGAATTTCTTGAAAGATAGACAGGACCCTGTTGCGTTGGCTGATGACGAGTACCCGAGTTGGCTGTGGACGATATTGGACCGACAGGAGAAGAAGGCCGAGGCTGGAGCGGGAGATTTGTTCTGTACGTCTTCTCTTGGATCTACTTACCCGTATCTATATTATGCCAAAGGACCGACTTTGCTAACTAGCGTACAGCGAAATCAAAGAAACAACGTCGTTTAGCTGCGAAGCGCCTCCGTAAGGAACAAGCCATGAACCCGGAGATGATGGTACCAAAAGTGCCGTTGTACGAGCAAACTATTGATTTACCGGCTGGAGACGGTAGTCTGGAGGGGTCGATCAAGGCGCAGGATGCGCGAGAGGAGTTGACAAAGGCGATGAGGAATAAGAGGAGAGCTAGCATCAAGGAGGCTAACTTCCTGAAGGCCATGGGATAGACGTTGGATTGGAAACAGCTTTGGTAGTAGAAGAGAGCGGAGATATGCTGTGTGTGTGTGTGTGTGTGTGTGTGTGTGTGGACACTGGGCAGCACGTCTGTAAAGACTTGTACAATCACCTGTGGGATTAGACATGTTCACTATGAAAGTGAACCACGGCCGGTCGGCACGAAGCATTACGTCTGGTTCAATCATTCTCGACAAAGTGTAACCCATTTCAAGTACGATGAATGAGCATTCGCAACGTAGATCTTTACACCGAATCACTACTTTTGACACCCAAATGTTTAAGAGAGAGAGAGAAAACGCCTCAAAATGCAACCTCATCCACCGACCTACGCAACATCCACAAACCCTCTCTTCTTCCTGTTCTTCTCCTCGTCCAGCTTATCAACATCCTCCCACCTAACCAACTTCGCCTCATCCACCCTCTCCCCCACAAATCTCAACGCCGCAACATTGAACCCAATCAAATCCTTATTACCCACCAGCGTCTTCCTGAGGTCACTTCGCATAAGCTCAAGCACTGTCTTGAGTTCCCTGCTGGCGACAATTTGCTTCTGGTGCGTTTTGAGCATGAAGAAGAGGACGCGGCAAGTCAGTGTTACGTTCCACTGTTTGCGCACCCAAATAGCCAGGAAAGTGAAGAGAGCGGGTAAAGATGAGAAGGGTAGAACGAGTAATGCGTCGTGCAGCTGAGCAGCAGGAATTTTGGACATGGTGTTGAGGACGTGGCGTTCAGCGGATATGTTGCCTAGAGCAAGAAACAGGGGATTACGCTGTGGCGGGGCGATTTTGGGATTGGTTTTACGTTGGGTTTCCCAGTCTCGGACAACGTCTAGGTCGGCGATGCCCAGGTCGAGGGCTTCTTGGATCCGTTCTCCGGCTGTGAGAGTGGTGATTGTTTGTTTGCTGGCGTCGACTGCCTCGGCGCGTTCGCCAGTCATGTCCTCATCGTCTTCGAGATTGGTGGCTAGTGTCTTTTCGTACATTTCTTCTAGCTCCCGTTCGCGTTCTTCTTCGAGGAAAATGGGCTCTTCAGACCGGGTCCAGATGCGTATGCTCTTGTCGTGGCTCGCTGTGACGATGAAATCGCCTGTTCGAGCGACGGTCATGGCCCAGATTTCACCGTGGTGACCCTTGAACTTTTGGATTTGTTGGAACTTATCGCCGTCCCAGCTCTTGATTGTGCGGTCCTTGGAGGCACTGAAGAAGATGTGGCGTTCGTCGTTATCGACAGGATGGGGGATGAAGGATATTTGCATAATGCTGTCTTCGTGACCAAAGAGCGCCTTGTGACAGTCGCCAAAGTCGAGACCCCAGATACGGACGTTCTTATCTGCGGAACAGGTCGCGATGAGTTTGCTGTCGCTGGAGATCGACATGTTGAGCACAGGCAGCTTGTGGCCGTAGAGATTGAGGAAGAGCTTCAGCGAGTCGACGAAAAAGACCTTGACAGTGTTGTCGAGCGTTGCTACGGCGAGGAGTTTAGAGTCGGGCGAAACTTGCACGCTCAGAACATCATCGTTGACCTTCAGTATGCGCGACTCGACGAGCTTGAGGCGAGGTGTCGTGCGTTTCGTTCCTGGAATCTCTTCTTGGACGATCTCGAAGTTCCAGAACTTGATGGACTTGTCGGCGCTGCCAGTGATGAGAGACTTTCCGTCAGGGTGTACCTGCATAGTCCAAACGGCTCCTTCGTGTGCGTCGATTTTGTCTAGTAACGTGGATGCCGCTATGTCGTACAGCTCAATATCTCCGTCTTTCGTTCCGACAACAACAATCTTGTCACCAGGCAAGAAAGCGCAGCAAAGTGCATAGCCACATTCCAGGGTACGCAAGCAATTTTGCGTCTTGACGTTCCAGATCTTAAGTCCACCACTCGACGCGGATGCCAGCATGCGATCATCGGAGCTGAGTGCGAGCGCCCGTACATCGTTTCTGTGACCGGAGAGTTCGACGGATAGTGTGCGGCTGTACTCGGGTGCTTCCTCGCTCTTTGTCTTGCTTCGTTGGGGTATCTCGTAAACGTCAATAAGGTTGTTGTTCGTGCCGATCAGTAGCTGCAGCTTCTTCGTTCCTTTGATGTGCATCCATGCGACCGATCTTACTTTTCCAGCTGTCCGTACGGTGACGTAAGGTACGAAGACCTCGCCTATCTCAGCATCGGCAGCGTTGACCTTGTCATCAGCATCAGCGTCGTCGTCCCCGTTCGTCTCAGTCTTGGCCTTTTCCCGCCTTCTCTTCCTCTTCCTGATTAAGCTTTTCCGGACTTCTTCTGGTGTCTTTATCCGCCATATCTCAACAGCCTTCTCTGCGCCATGTACGGCAATGTAATCAGCCTTGGCATAGAAAGAGATGCCTTGTGTCCTATCCTTGCCTGTCCGGTATAGTATGCCTCTGGGCGTGAGAAATTCTTGTTCTGCTCCTTCGCCAATAGTTGAGCCTGCTCTTCGAAGGCCCGGCAGGTCAATAGCCCACACTTTGAGCTCGCCGTCGTTGCCTGCCGTTATGCAACCGCTGCCATCGGGCGAAACGCCAAGTGCCCAGCATTCTCCGTTGGTTTGTGCAATATGGGTCTCGATGCAGTGTTGAGTGGTAACATCCCAAATCTTGATCAAAGCGTCCTTGCTGGTAGATAGTAAGAAGGCTTGGTCTGCGTCCGTGTCCATCTCTTCGTCATCTGCGCCATCTTCTTGCGAAGCACTGCCGGGGTGGAGGAACTGTAGACCAGTAATTTGGCCCTTGTGCCCTCTCAGCTTGAACAAGCCGGTTTCCGACACCAGGTCCCAAACCACAATATCCGTGTCCTTGGAACCACTCGCCAGGCGTACTCCACTTTGATCAAAAGTCAAGACGGTCACTGCAGATTTGTGTCCATTGAAACTGATGATGACGGTCGACGTTCGCGCATCCCAAATGCGTATGCTTCCGTCGGCGTAACCCACGGCAAAGACATCTGGATCGACTTCGCTCCGGCAAATGACGGTTACTTCCTCGGTACAGGTATTGTCGCGCCATCTGCTCATGAGTTCACCTTTCTTTACATCCCAACATAGCACTTCTTCGTTGGCGGCGGCGTATGCGCGTCCGGCGCCTGCGGATCGACTCGAACCGGGCTGGGTGAGGCCTTCTGGGGTCCAAATGATGTTGGAAGTGGCAGTCGCGACCACGCCAAAAGCGTCGGTCTGCTCATATTTGCTACATGGCAGTCAGTACGAGCTCTGTTCCATTTGCGCTGCATGTGCGCATTACCTGTAGGATTTGACCATTTTGCGCCGCCTCTAGAAAAAAAAATCGGATATTGCGTGACGGGAGTATTCGAAGGAGCTCAGAAGCAGTATCTTCAGGTCATTGCGCTCCGTATACAAAGTTCACGGGTATGCGCCACTGGTAACGGTCGGGTTGGGAGTTGGTTACTTTCTCGAAACTTTTTAGACAAGGGCCAACCCCACGAATTGCGCTAGGCCCACCTTCCAGCATCACAGCACACCTCCGTCCTCCGCATCACCGCCCTCGAGAGCTGCCCGCCCGACCAAGCCAACCCGCCTACCAGAAGCTGAACCGCCAACATGCTTCTTCTCGACTACCAAAACGTGCTTATCGAGTCCCTACTCAGGGAACGAATCAATGGGTGCGCAATACCCCGCTGCCTTCCGCTCCGCAGCAGCAGCAGCACCAGCCAGGTAGCTAACAGCACATAGAGGAGCTACCGCCAACATTGACCAGGTCGTCTCCGACTTTGACGGCGTCACCTTCCACATCTCGACACCGGAGAGCAAGACAAAGATACTAGTGTCGTTGCACATCAAGTGCTTCAAGGAGCTGGTCCAGTATGGCGCGCAGGCAGTGCTGGAGCGAGAGTATGGGCCTTACATCGTGGAGCCCGAGTCTGGCTACGACTTCTCAGTGCTGGTCGACTTGGAGAACCTACCGGAGGAGCAGGGTACGATGCATGCCCAGACTGGTGGAGCAAGATGCTGACCTTGTGCAGAGGCCAAAGAAGACCTGGTCCGACGTGTGTCCCTCCTAAAGCGGAACGCCATGGCTGCACCCTTCGAGCAGGCCTTTGACGAATTCCATGAATTGCAGGAAGAAGCTTCCAAATACACATCTGAGTCGGCGCCGCAGGGTGTAGCAGAAGGAGGTGCCGTGCGCGCGATCCACTACAGAGAGGAGGAGGCCATCTACATCAAGGCCAGCCACGACCGTGTCACCGTCATCTTCTCCACTGTGTTCCGGGAAGAGACAGACAGGATATTCGGAAAGGTGTTCCTCCAGGAGTTCGTCGACGCCAGACGGAGAGCTATTCAGAACGCACCACAAGTACTCTTCAGGAACGACCCACCCCTAGAGCTCCAGGGCATTCCAGGAGTCGATAACTCTGGCTCAGCTGAGATCGGCTACATCACATTTGGTACGCATTCCAAGCCCACTTGCTGTACTCCTGGCTAACTCTGGCAGTGCTCTTCCCTCGCCATCTTGCCAAGCAACGGCGTGAGGATGTTATCTCGCATATCCAAACTTTCCGAGACTACTTTCACTACCACATTAAGGCTTCAAAGGCTTTCATCCACACAAGGATGCGCAAGCGGACTGCAGACTTCCTCCAAGGTATTCTACACCGTCTTACCTGTGTCATGTCTGTGCTGACAAAATATAGTTCTTCGCAGAGCCCGACCCGAGGCAGAGGAGAAGGAGCGCAAGACAGCCAGCGGTCGTACTTTCAAGGTTCAAGCATAGACAAGGTCAAGCAGTTGTTTCCAAACATGACGTGCGTGGGTCTAGTCATTCGAAGAGAGTCATTTGTGTCCGGTGTGAGGTCTAGTATCGCCGAGTGCAGGCCATGTAGATAGCGATTGAAACCTGCCTGAAATGCGGGCAAGAGCAAACCATTCATCATATCTTCACCTACTTGTTCCGTGTACAACACATGCCAACTATGCCATGCGGGGACTAGCGTGAGTCGCGACTGCCACTTTGGACGCGTCCCCTCGAACTCACCCAACTTGCGCCAAACAAGCGATACCCCTCTTGCGCACTCAATCGCCATGTCTGAAGGAACACGGCCCAAGTACGACAATCTCCCAGGCATTGACACCGCCCCGGACATATACGAGACGCCCGAACTCGCCGAAGACGTGTCTACAATACAAGCCTCCACCGCTGTTTCCGAATCCGATGGCGAAGGCGACGATGACGACCCCAGGGACTCGGCAGTCCGTCACCAACGGCTCCAGCCAGACCAAGCCCGCAGCCGCTTCCAGCCCTCACGAATAGACGCCCGCGGGGTCGATTTCTCAGACAACATCACCGCACAACGCCAATCCTACCGCACATCGACACAGCGCCAGCGACGGCGAGGCGAGATAATAGGAGATGATAGCGACGAAGAAGAGGAGAGCTTCGCGAAGAAGCTGCTTCGGATCAAGAGGGAGCTAGCTGGGCTGGAAGAGGAATACGAGCGCGGGGTGCAGAGCGGGGACAAGTCCAAAATTGAGGAGCAAGACCCCAAGGAGATGATGGAGCTGATAGCGAGCAAAGTCGACACGATATACACAGCACACAAGGGCGGTGCTCGGGGCGCACAGGCGATACTGGATCGGACGGTACAAAAGTTTGAGAGCTACAAGCCCTTTGAACCCAGCCCCAAGATCAGCGATGCCATTGCAAAGAAGCCGCCGCTACCTGGCACCCAGATACAAAAGAGCCAGCTGGAGTTTGTGCTGAACCAAGCGGCCGAGTTTGACAAGCGAATTACTCAGATGGAGAACAATCTGGGCCTAAACGGAAACACAATGCCAGATCTAAGCGACCATACGCCTTTCCCCGTCGCTGCTACCCTGACGAGGTTGGAACAGACGCTCAGCTTGATTGGAGACGCTTCTGCCAACAATATGGATGCCGTTACGCAGAACGTCAAGAAGCTCACAGCAGAAGCGGAGCATCTGAAGGAGGTTCGACAAGAAGCTGCACAAGCTGGTTCAACTTCTGGCGACAACAAGGCTCCCATATATCCAGACCAGGACGCCAAGATTAATGCGCTGTATGGCACCCTGCCTTCTGTTGACAAGCTATCGCCTATTCTACCTTTGGTCCTAGAGCGTCTGCGCACACTGCGACTCGTGCATACAAGCGCTTGGCAAGCCGATACAGTATTAACAGAGCTAGAAAGCAGGCAGTCGACGCAAGAACAAGAAATCAAAAAGTGGGAGCGCCAACTTGAGGTTCTGGAGAAGAAGATGAAGACAGCCGAGACGGCCATGGTCAACAACGTCAAGACTGTTGGGAATGATGTTAAGATGCTAGAGGAGAAGATGGCTAAGCTGCTTGCAGGAGGCCACGAGGAGTAAGATGTGCCGTCGCAGACTGTGGCTTCGTGGTCACCACTGCCACGCAACCTACTCAGCTGTACTGAACTCATGCAGAGATCAACATCACACCAAGCGCTCGTAACAGTCCTGTATCGAGACGCGTAGCGCTTTCGATAAACGTCCCTAGTCGTAGCACGTCGATCGATTTTGAGATACCCAATAGACAGTTGCTATTCATGACCACCTAAACACATATCCTGTTTGTCTATACTTCTCATCATGTGAAAGCATGACGACCCAAGTTGATCTCCCACGATAGTAAAGTTTAACGCGATCGACGCCACTGGACATGTGGTCTCCGGGTGTCGACCAACCGGAGTGGCTGGCACTCCGCACATTAGCGAATACCCATCCTACCAGTCGTGACCGAGGTCGTGGACTCTTGATTATAGTTCTGCAAGCACTGCCCGCGATCCGGCTGATCTGTTATCGGTGAACATGAGGAGAAGGCGTCCACGCTGGGCATTAATCTTCGTATTTATGCTGTAGTGGGTTAGGTGGAGAGATTGTGGTGTGAGGGAGGCGATAGCATCGGCGATGTTCAAAGCTTAATGCCGACTAAATTTATGCTCAAGTTTCCCTTGATTGCTCCTGCGCGACAACTGAACCTTTTCCCCGCAAACCTGAAATCATCGCTAAATTTCCGCAATGGCTAAGCGAAAGAATGAGGCGCCTGCCAATGGCAAGGCGAAAAAGAAGAGAGCTATCTCCGATGATGAAGCGCATAAGAATTTCCGCGACGGTCTCTTCGACGGCAAGGTACTCGAGACATATACGAGCGAGTACGCCGGTTCCCAGCCGTATGTGCCAATCTCCACCTCCTTGAGCTGGATAGCGCTAATTCAAGTCACAGCTACAAGCACGCCGTAATTCACAATCTCATCGACGATACGCTCCTCCGCAATGTCCGCAACGAAATCCGCGAGCACATCCATTTCACGCCCAAAGAGACAGACATCTACAAAATCCACCAATCTGGCGATCTCGCAAACCTCGATGGTCTCCACGACAGTGCGCTCAAGCGCTTGCCTTCCCTACTCACCCTCCGCGACTCGCTGTACTCGTCTGCCTTTCGCAAGTATCTGTCTTCGATAACAGGATCTGGGCCGTTGAGCGGCGTGAAGACGGATATGGCAGTGGTAGGTTCCGTAACTCACCATACAAGGAATTGCATTGACCGCAGCGCAGAATGTTTACACACCAGGGTGTCATTTATTATGCCACGACGACGTCATTGGGAGTCGGCGCGTAAGCTGGATTCTATACTTGCTAGATCCCGATATCCCATGGAAGCCTGAATGGGGAGGCGCATTACGACTGTACCCGACGGAGCATCTTGAAACACCAGAAGGCGACAGAGTTAGGGTACCGCAACCAGACTTTTCGCTGTCGATACCGCCGGCTTGGAATCAGCTCTCTTTCTTCACTGTTCAACCCGGAGAGAGTTTCCACGATGTCGAAGAGGTCTACAGGAGAGGCCTGGAAGAAAAGGCAGAGGAGGATGGTGGACGTATACGCATGGCCATCAGCGGATGGTTCCACATTCCCCAAGAGGGCGAGGAAGGCTACGAGGAGGGTCTTGAGGAGAAGCTGGCAGAGAAGAGTTCGCTTGCTCAACTGCAAGGAGGCAAGGCAGACATCTTCGATGAGCCAAAATCGCATTGGGTAGACAACCCAGACTGGCAAGAGCAGGCGAAACAGGAGGACGATGAGCTGACTGAGAACGACATCGATTTCTTGATCAAGTTCATGAACCCTAACTATCTGGTACCGGATACAGTAGAGGAGTTGTCCAACATGTTCGGCGACGAGTCTTCTTTAAGACTTGCGCAATTCTTATCCAACAAATTCTCTGCGCGGTTACGGGAGTACCTTGAGTCGAAAGACCACGAGGCGAACCCAAGCTTACCCAACAACCCACACTCAAAAGAGTCGATGGTTGGTGTCGCAAGACCACCGCATAAGCAGCGCTATCTCTACCGGAAAGCAATTCAACCGATACCAACGACACCGTATCCCGAGAACGACGGCATGACACCCTACGATGACCTCGTGGACATCCTCTTCCCACATCCAGCGTTCATGAAGTGGATCTCGCTTGTGACTGGTATCACACTGACCAAGAGCAACATCTTTGCGCGCCGTTTCCGAAGAGGTCTCGACTACACCCTCGCGACCGCATACGAAGAAGAAGACCCGCAGCTCGAAGTATGCCTGGGCATCACACCCTCCCGCGGCTGGGGTGATGAAGATGAAGAGCCTGAAGAAGCGCCTGAAGAATCCAAGAAAAACGGCAGCAGCAGTAAAAAGAGCAAGAAGAATGGTAAAGCAAAGGAGCCAGAGCCCAAGCCTGAAGAAGAAGTTGGCGGTTACGAAATGTACATGGCTGGCGATGAAGACAACGATCACCCCAATGTTCCTACGTCTGAAGCCTCGACCTCCACTGGTGCTGGTCAGCGTCGCAAAGCGAAAGCTGATCCTGCAATCTACAAGTCTGCAGCGGATGATGAGGACGATGGTATTCTGTTCAGCCAGCCAGCTGCGTGGAACAATTTGGCTATTGTATTGAGGGATCGTGGTGTGTTGAGGTTTACCAAATACGTTAGTAAGAGTGCTAAGGGAGATCGATGGGATGTGTGTGCCGAATATGGTGTTGAGTTTGGGGAGGACGAGGATGATGAGGATGATGAGTAGGTACGTGTGTCTGTGGATACGCGCGCTTAACGTAACGATACTATGAAACATGCTTGTGTTCTCGGCATGAGACGCGGCGAGATGCGTATTATGCTCCGACCATATTGTCAGAATCCCATGCTTTACTGAGTTACGCAGAGAGGAAGGTTCTATGCTACCAAACGCATGATCAGACGAACAAGCCTGCCTCCACAGGCGCAAACTTGACTTGATCAGCCTGAATCTCCTCCAACAGATCATTTCCAGGATACTCGTCCAAATCCAGATCAATATAACCCCTCGGTGCCCACTTTCTTGCTGAGATGAAAAGTGACCGCCCATTAATACTACCATCGCTCAAGATCCTCAACAAACACTGCCCTGCATCTTCTGTAGTAGCAAGCTGTACACCAGCCTTCTCCACCGCATCAAAGTCGTCATTCGTCAGGATTTTCGTGCGCACATACCATGGCGAAATCATATTGATGCGAGAACCGTAGTAGTACGCTGTACGACGCAGGGAGTGCATGATACCGCGCATCGCATATTTGGAGGCACTGTATTGGGGTCCGCGTGGACAGTCGAGGTAAGCGGCTCCTGAGCCAATGAGGATCAGACAGGTGTCTGTTTGGGAGGAATTCGGTGATGTGCCGTTTTGGGTCATGAAGTAGTGCATTGCGAGTTTACTGGTGTAGAGCGCGCCATTGAGATTTACGTCGATGATGTCGAGATTTGGCTTCTTGGGCGTTTGGTTGGGACCTGTGGGTGGTTAGCTCGATCTATAAGTCCGACTGAGTTTACACGATAGTGGATTTACCTTCGAATGTGAATACGTCGTCTGCATGTATGATACCCGCATTGGCGACTACATAGTCAATCTTCCCAGAGGAAGATAACGAGGCAGCTTCGCTAAACAGCCGAAGTTGGTTGTCCCAGTTTGTTACGTCGCAGTGCACAAAGCGACAGTCTTTGAGTTCAGAAGCGAGCTGCTCTCCTCGGTGGGCATCACGATCTCCGAAGCATACCTTCAATCTGTCTTCCTGTTAGTCGCTCATGGTTTCGGCATGAGAATAATAATAAGATAGACCTGCCCTGAATTGACCAGTGCTCGAACATAGGCTTCCCCTAGACCACTACCTCCTGTTTATTGACTTAGCTAATTCTTCCAATGATTGTAGTTGAAACAGCTGTCGTAATTGCATCAGCAGATTCAAGAGTGATGCGTACCTCCGGTAACGACAGCGGTCTTTCCTACTAGATGACTGGCATCAAAATCAATCGTACAGTCGACGGGCTTCGCAGGTGAAGAGCCAGGCATCTTGGTGAACAGTTCGGAGGGGATTGAATTGAGGGGCAGAACGAGTAGTTGCTTCTTCAAAGACCAACTCTAGCCCCTTTAAAGGCCTACCGCCAATATGTCAATATAAGCCGGCGTACATACATTTCTCCCAAGTTCAGTCAGCCAGGAACTCATGGAGTTATGGGCTCGGACCATGCACGTAGCTGACAGGTTTAGCAAGACGACCATCCAAGTCGCGAAGTACCACTATGGCCCGGAGATAGCAACATTTAAACCACCAAGGAAGAGATGTCGGATATGAGGTCATGATTAGCGTTGGGATGGCACAGCAGACTTCGAGAAGGAGCAATCTGCCAAGACGCTAATGCAACCTGCTTACACGCTTAGGCAAACCCCGAATGCGCTATCCACAATCACCTTCATCCTCAACCGAAAGGTAGTTGCCTGATGCAATTGACACGCTCAGGCGACAGAAGGAAATAGTCATGCCCATTTCATTCACATTTTCGCACAACTAGCGCAGCCGAGCAACCACGATGACATACTGCCATCGGAATAAAGATCGACCTAGGTTGTGTACTGGTTTCGGGAGTGCCGCGCGGTATGCACTGCCAGCTGGATCCTTCTGTGTATTGGATCTCGAACGGACATAGTACAGGAAGCACTTGGTGATACCAATCGATGTGGTTCGATCAAGTAGTCAGATTTGAAGGAATCAGGGACAAGAAGACACCAGTTTTATCACCATGCGAGACCCCATGTTACGTCCCGTCTGCCAAAAGAGTAGACAGTGAGCGTCTAATATTAGACACCGCGATCTACGAACCAATAGCAAGTAGGGGTACTAAGTGGAACGCAACCTCAACTTCAACCTTAATAGGGAAGAGATGTATATAGCACAGCCTAGTCATCCCTCCATTATCTCCGACTGTTGGCACACTAGCTGAGGACCACAATTCCCAGATAACATCCAAACTCATGGGATCTTGGCTTGACGATGATGTCCTGATTGATCTCGTCATGACAGAAGAGATGTGTATAAGAGAGATGGCTGTAATGTGTCTGCCACAACACTGTCACTCACTCCATCTTCGATTTTCATCACAACTTTGTCGGCGACATGGCTTCGAATATTACAGCTATGATGCGCGCAGTCGCACAATTCGGTCAAGCCCTCAATGTCTCTGTCGTCGACGTACCTGTTCCGACCATCCTCAATGCCACGGATGTCATCGTCAAGATAAACATGACCGCCATCTGCGGAAGCGATATGCACACCTATCATGTGGAATCAGGCTCACCTGAGCAGCCATACTTTTACGGTCACGAAGCTATCGGCTACGTCACAGAGATAGGGGATGCCGTCCAATTTCTGAGCGTGGGTGACTACGTAGTCATTCCAGACAATCTAGACAACGGACACTGGACTCAGGAGCCTGATGTATATGATCCGCCACTGGGCTTTGGCGGCCTAGTGGGAGAGGTACTTCCTGGTGTGCAAAGTGAGTCTCCCACTAATCCCTCTTTTTAACTTCAGAACAAAATGCTGACTTGGATAACAGCGGAGTATGCCAGAATCCCGTTTGCCGACAACTCGTTGATCCCGGTACCTGTCAACGCGTCCACAGGTGAATCGACACTCATCGATTATCTGTTCGTTTCCGACATCTTTTCCACTGCTTGGTCTGGTGTCACTTGGTCCGGCTTCACACCGGGAGACTCCGTTGTCGTCTTTGGAGCCGGGCCAGTCGGTCTCCTGGCCGCGTACTCCGCTGTTATTCGTGGTGCTTCGCGTGTCTACAGTGTCGACCACGTGCAAGACCGCTTGGACCTTGCTGCATCCATCGGTGCTATACCAATTAACTACCGCAACTCATCTGCAGTCGATCAGATCATGCAGAGGGAACCTGGAGGTGTCCGGAGAAGCGTTGAGTGTGTAGGCTTCGAAGCTGAGACCGCAAACGGCACGGTTGACTCGTCCATCACTCTACGCGAAATGGTTCAGGTAACGGCACCCGGGGGTGGTATGGGTATCGTCGGTCTGTTCAACGACACATTGAATGACTTCACTATTGGCACGGCTTATACGAAGCAAATTGCTATCAACGGCGGCATTGTGCTTCCCCTACAGGGTGTTGCATCGGAACTGGTACCTCTCATTACTTCTGGTCGGGCTCATCCTTCGTTTATTGTCAGCAGTATCATTGACATTGAAGATGCGCCAGAATACTACGCGCGGTTCAGCAGGCGTGAGGAGACGAAGGTCGTCATAAGGCTTTGATAGGTTCACGGGCGTAAACAGGTAAATGCAGAGACAATCGTTCTGCACTGAACGTCTTCAGAGAGTAACGTCATTATTGTATCGTAGTAGTCTCCAGCTATGCTTGTGTAAATGGTTATTACTCTCATCAGTAGCTGCTGTTGTCTGCTACTTAGCTAGCACTATCGCTCCTGCTAGCTTTTTGAGTCAGTTTCTTCGTGGGAAATGGAATGATTACCATCAACATTAATGCAACCATGGCCGCATGGGTCACCACCATCTCATCCGCCATACACATCATCATCGTTCGATCATCCCCGCTTACCCAACGGCGCTGCCGTCACGGCGAAACAAAGGACCATCAACCGAATCAGCAGATGTTAGCACAAGAATTTGGCCTGATGTGAACGCGACTGGGCCGAAGATGCCCGACATCCGTATGCCTAGCGCGTCAGACTGCAACGAGTGCGTCTACGGATGACTACGTGCTTCTTCCATCCTCCCTCAACCTCAACGCCACAATTCAGTCCATGCAGTAATACCTCCTGCTCAACAGCATCTAGTTTGCGTCCGTAAGATGCCTCCGTCCCGTTGCCGAGGTCCAGCCCCACATCTCCCCACATCCATGCCATCGCTCTGGGGAACGACGTGGGGTGGCCAACGACGGCAGATATTGGGTGGTATGTAAATTGGCGTACCTCCCAAGATCTTGATCAGTAGTCTCGGAAGACGACGCGGAGTAACAAAGAGCAATGTCAGCCGACGAGAATAACCTGCACCATCCTACACTAAGGCGGACCCTGCGTGGTGAACCTTCAGCATCGACAATCCAGTTCCGCAACCTCAAATACGCATCAATACCAGCACGATATCAAGAACCGATCCCTGATGATAGACTAGAAGTTGGGAAGGATGGAGTCTATGACGCTACCCAGTTCGGTCCATCATGTCCACAATTGCATGGAGCTCAAGCATGGGATTTGACCTTGATCGGAGACGCTGTCTTACCTTGCGGCCATGGTCAAGGGAAAACAGAAAACATGAACGAGTTTGGTTGCTTGAATGTGATTGTCACAGTTCCAAAGGGTATTCAGAGCAATCAAAAGAGCAAAAGACGAGGGCTACCAGTATTTGTGTGGGTACATGGAGGTGGTCTCAGCATCGGATCGAACAGCTGGCCACAGTATGATCTACGTCGTTTGGTCGAGCGAGGTGCAGAAACCGACAAACCCTTCATTGGTGTCGCGATGGACTATCGACTAAACATCTTCGGCTTCCTCGCTAGCGATGAGATTGGCGCAGCCGGTAATATGGGCTACAAAGATCAGGTACTAGCTTTCAGATGGGTAAAAAAGCACATTGCTGGGTTCGGAGGGGATCCAAACAACGTTACTGCTGCAGGCGAGTCGGCGGGAGCGATATCACTATCGACTCTACTCTGCGCCAATGTCGGGCAAGAGGGACTCTTTGACCGGGTTATCATCATGAGTGGGGAAGCAACATTGCGTAAATGGAGGAACAGATGGTGGCAACAGAAGATGTACGAGGATCAGTCTACCTATCTTAAATTGGATGTCAAGGACACCGAGAGCAGAAAGAGGATCCTGTTGGACACCGATGCGGAACAGTTGGCTCAGAAGCTACCCTTAGCTCAGCATTTCGCTGCGACAGTTGACGGCCAATTCATAACGCGTGAAGTCACGATCGAGACGATAATGGATGGATCGAGCGCTATACATAAGCCAGCCTGGTGCAAAGAATTCGTGATAGGAGACACAGAGCACGATGGCCTCATCGTCATCGGGCGACTCCTTGCTCAACCTGATAGCCATGGGCGTCTTAGGAAGGCATGTCAAACTCATCTGTCACCGGCTGAGACGCACGAACTGCTGAAGGCATATCGTCTCGATGGCGAGTCTCCTAAGAGAGATAGAGAGGACCGCATGTTGATACTTGGATCTGAATTACGCTTCTATCTGCCTGCGTTGGCTGCTTACCGAGGATGGAAAGCTTGCTCACCACCAAGACCTGCTTCACGATACCACTTCCACGTCCCTAACCCAATAGATGGCCCACACAAAGGCCTTGCAGCTCACGAGCTCGACGTCGCTTATCTCCTGCAGAACTTTGACACTCACTTCAGTGATAAAGATCGAAAAATAGCACGAGCCATGCAAGACCAGTTCATTAAATATGTTCACGGCGAAGGGTGGGTTGAGGATGGTAAAATGGTAGTATTCGACAAAGACGGTTCAGTTGAAGTAGACGACGATAGATACGACGAGATGTATCGCAGTGGAAGAGGAGCATTACTGGAGAGTATCGGGATGCAAAAGTTATGGCGTGTCGCAGACATGTGGCAAAATGTGCGTCAGGAAGAAGAGGAACAGTACCTTAGTTCCTCTGGCGATTCAAAGCTATGATGAAAATGCATCTGAGTATGAGCGGCAGTTTTCTGATCTCATCATGACTAGTTCACTCCTGTGTATTGGAGTCAAAGCTTACTTACATAGAGAATATATCTCGTTCTACCGCGTGACGTAGGAAACACTCGCCTATTCACCTGACCCAAGTAACCATATTTCTCCATCATTATCGCACAAACTCCAGTATAAAAAGGGCACTAGGGCCGCATTCTCCTATTCCATTTCCCGTGAGCAACAATTTACCATACTCGATCTCTAACACCCTCTCGACAAAAAAACATGGAACTTCCAGATGGCAAGACGCTTCGCGCAGGGGATCATGTTTCACGAAATTCGCAGGAGGAGGCAGATATTATGTAAGTGTTGGTCATGACGATTCTGCCCTTCCCATCGGGCCTTTGGCTCACCAGCCTAGATTCCTACGGAACCAAGAAGCTTCACCACTGCTGCAACTACCTGGAGAAATCCGCAACAAAATCTACCAATACGCTCTTGGTGGTCATCACATCTATCTGGACGAGCACCAGCCGAGTTTCAAGAGGCTTGTGATCCGACGTGCTGATGGGAAACGAATATCCAAGGATGACCTCTTCGCACTTGGCTACACTTGCCGACAGACCCACTCGGAGTCTGCAATCTTACTATTCAGTCTTAACGAATTCATTGGCTACTTTTGGTCTTCGTTCGAAATTCAGAGATGCGAGTTTTTCTCGCCGAGCCAGCGCAACGCAATACGTAACATCAGTGTCACGATATGTTGCTTCAGACACTTTAAGGGCAGTGAGACGATTATCGTTGACAAGTTCGGTGGACTGGAGAGGATTACACTGGTGGCTACTGCAGGTCAGTATAATGCAAACTTGGGAGGCGATGCAGTGAACATCGACAGAATAAAACGGGAATTATTCCAGCTATTTGGTCGCGAGATGAAAGTTATCTTGAAGAATCGAGATACTTTATACGAGTAGTAGATAGAGGAATCTGGTGCTCTGCTAAACTGGGCTCTGGTCATGCGCCTGGCCATTGTTCACGACGAGACAGAGAGAGGTAATTCTTGGGCATGCATAGAACAAAAAATGAGATTTGTCACGTATGTTACGTCAAACATCCCACAATCAAGCTCCATCACTCTAGGCTTATTGTGCCTCGGGAGCAACAGACTGGGGGCTAAGCGGGAGAATGCGCCAAAGCCCTGTCTCGTGCACGCTCTTACATGGCACCTACGTATTCACTTCCCTCCACAAATGATCAATTGATTACCTAAACACCAAGCACGTTCAATTTACAGAGAAGCACATGCTCTTTCAAGCCTTGCACAGTTTTCACCGCACATTCTTATCACTTTCCAAGATGTCGGCTTCTGGAGATCTTGCAAGCTTTGACAGCCTCCGGTCTTCTGACATTGGCGTACAGACCTTTATGGATATGCTGCGAGTGCACTGATTGCTATTTGGACCTCTCAAATCTTCAGTTGATGTTGCGGACACCCTCGAGCCGGGCTTTGAATGTCAACCATACACTACTGACGGTCGTTTCCACCCGATATCGACATCTTCCGCAACAGAACCACCAGTCTCGTCTATCGACGTCGACGTCGACATGTCTGAAGCATGGGAGTACGCATGGGAAACAGAGCATCAAGATGACGATGAGGATGGTCAAGAGCAGATCGAAGACGAAGATGGTGAAGGTCGGAAGCTTGTGCGCTGCTGCAGCATGGCTCGTCCACAAGTTCCACCGTTCCTCAAGGTGCTACCTACCACGCAACGCTTTGTCACCATACACGATTACATCACCCAAGCTCACGCTTAGGTGCAAACACTACATATCAGCGTTTTGGGGGCTATGGGGGAAATGAGTTCTCCTTCGACAAAACTTTACATCAATTTGCTATCACTGAAAATTCTCAACTTGGAGGAGGAAATTCGAGCGGACACCATGTGGAGAGTGGTTAGGGAACATGCACAACGACGCAGAGAAAGTATGATGGTCTCTTAGTTACGCTATTAGACCATGGCATCCGTAAGTCAATAGTATCCTCCAAGCTTTCCAGTACATTTCACAGGGTCAATTTCTATGCTCCCGCATTCATGCTAGCCTCATCGTATCTATCTAAACACACAACTCAAGCTCTCGGACGCAGTGTTGAGCTTCAGAAGAGCTCTTATGATCTTTGAAGTTCGTCGTATTCTCTCTGTTGTAGGTCTTCCATCTCAGTGGCAAGAGTCAGTGTCGCATGACTATTGAGGTCTAGAGTAAAACACATCCTAAAGATATCTGCTATGTCTCCTGTTGGTAGGCAAAGATGATAGAAGACTGTGTATACCTTTGCTTGAGTATGCTGTGATCAAGGCTCAAGACTGCGCACCATAAAGTATAAATGTTAGTCATGTGCCGGTGTATGCAGAAAATAGATTTGAAAGTTCGATATCCCACAAAACGTACTCGTGAAGCTATTCATTGCATTCCATGTTTTTGCACCAAAAGCACAAAACCCAGTAAGTACTTCTAGAGTTTATTATGGACACTAGAATACATGCACCTCAGTAGACTTCTCCACCTCTGCCTCATCCTCCAGTCCTCTCACCCTCAACTCACTCCAAGCGTGAATTAGCACGCATCCAACATCTTCCGTCCACCATCATTTCCCTTCTAATTACGATTCGACCCACTGACGAAGTACACATTACTGGACCGTATATCTTCAACGCACGCACAAGCTCACTAACACGTAAAGAAAATGGACGCTCTCAGTGTCATCTGCAGATACTCAGAGCAAATACCGATGCAAGGGAAAGTGGAGACAGGAAAAAGGCAATGAAATAATGGTGGGCTGCGTAAAGCGCTAGCCACGTGGTATCAAACACACTGGAAAAGAAAAGATGCAGCGACCGTGTAGCGGTCGACATAGAGTCAAAAAACAACCAAATACCCATCGATGATCGCAAACAGTAGGCGCGAGTCCATCCATCTAGTCCATCGCAACAGACCGAACGAAAGCGATGCAGGCAGGAGTCGAATTAACAACCTCAGCGGATGGGAACACCTGTAAAGTAAACACGGGGTAGCCAGTTGGGGTGGAGGCAATCAACCTCATGGAGATAATCTTGGAAAACCATTTCCTCCGTAGGATCCGGCCTCAGCAGTAGTGACTGACTCACGCGAGTCTCAACAGATCGTACAGGTCTACTATCAGTCGTAGCGACCGCATAGCCATTGTCCGTGTCCTGAGGTGCTGAAATATCAGCTTTAGCAACCACAGGGCCACTGGATGTGCCTTGTGCCTCTCCGTCAGTATTCCTCGATATATCAGGAAGTCTAGAGGCGTTTAAATTGCTGGAGCCTTGGGTCCTGACAGGGTTCCGAACAGTTGCTCCGGCGGTAGCCTTCCTACGTTGCCTAGCCGGTCTGGGTATGATGTCGGGGCCGGGGAATAACCCAGTCGCTTCTTGCGGAACCATTCGATTACTATGCCGATGACCACGAGAAGGAAGGTAAGGACTAGGGCGATGGCGAGGCCAATGAGGACAATGGCCCATAGTGCGAGGTGCTTGTCTAAAATTCGTTAGTATACCAGCTATGCGCAGGATTGGCTTGAATGACTCACTGGATTGTCTGAAGAACGAGTTGGGGTTCTCAACAAACACAGAGGATAGGCTTCCAGGCTCCGTCGAACCATCCTGGCCCTTAGTAGCGAGAAGAAAAGGAGTGAGCGTAGTGCCGTTAAAGAGCACAGCAGATGCTGTTCCGAATGTAGTAACATTGATCCGACCCATAAGGAGGAGATCTTGATTGCGGTCGATAATATCGGAGTTGCCATGGTCTTCAGACAAAGTGAGAACCTGAATGCCGCGGATGTCTGTCGTTTCGCCAAACATGGACCCATCAGCAGGCACCCACTTGGTACCATCAAATCGCTGCAAGTAAGCAGTGCCGTCGCTTCCGGTACCAGCGGCCCAGAATTGGTCTCCGCCACTATTGGCGATGGTAAGCGCAGTGACCGGACCAGGGAGGTCATTGGCACCAGGGACAACAGCAAATTGCCTGCTTGATGAGTCGTAGGTGAGGATCTTGGTCTCGTTGGTGCCTGAGGTGAGGTTACCAGCGATGAGGAGGCTGTTGTCGCCAACCCAAGTGAGAGTTGAGACGTCGCCAGAAAGACCGTTGCCGGGTGCGGTCCATTGGCTGCGCTCGGTGTTCCAAATACACACAGCAGCACAACTCAAGGCTCCAGCGGACTGGAATTGACCTGCGACAAAGATGTCTTTGGACTTTGGTCGTGGGGCAATGGCGTTTACGGTGACATTGACACCCTGCAGCGGTGGTGGCTGGATGCTGGCGAATGCGTTGCTACTGAGGTCGTAGGCGACAATTCCAGCAATGCGATCGTTGTCAAGCTGACCGCTGATCATACCGCCGGCGTACAAGACATTGTCGAGTACAGCGACAGTTGCAAAGGTAGAATTAGCATCGAGCTCGTTGTCAAAGCCGGTCACCTTGTCGGAGTCGTTGCCATCGATGATGATGAGATTAGTGATGTTACGATCATCTGCGCCCGTGGTTGCAAAGTGACCAGCAAGGATAGTCTTGTTCATGCCGTTCTCCTTGTAGAAAGTACCGGTACGAACTCCGGTCGTGTTCAGGTTTTGTCCCTGAACAATGGCTCGCTTGCGAGAAGTAGTCTGCTGCTGTTGCTGTTGCGCTTGAATTTTGACGGGGAAGGCCTGGAGAGACAAGTCATCTCCAGTTTCTAGCTCAGCAGTACCACTTGCAAGGAGGGCGCCAGATGATACCGATCCGCCAAACCAACGTTCGCTTTCGGGGACATCAGCGAATGTCATCAATCTGCCGGACATGGCGAGAGAGTGGAAATCGAGGTTGTGGAGCCAGTTGCTACGAGAAGGCACCCAGATGGCGAAGTCATTAACACTGGTGCTGGGGTTATCGCCAAAGCCGTTGACCTGGCTGAAGAAGCCGCTGACAGCGAGGACCTCCTCAGGAGTGTTAACCGTGACGTTGAGCGAGAATGGTACCAAGTACAGAACGACACCGTCAACACCGGCTCCAAGGGGTTGCCACTCATCGTTGGTCAAAGCAGCGACTCCACCCAGGCCTGCTACGTTGTTCTCTGCAGTGTTGGTGAAGTTGCCACCAACGTAAAGCGTACTAGCGTTGTGGAACATTGTCATGACCTGGTTGTTGAGTCCCTTACCGGGAAGTGCTTTGGGTTGCGCTGATCCCTGTGGAATTGCGAAGATGTTGTTGCGGTCATCACTGCTGTTGAACGATCCGCCGACATACAAGGTCTGGCCACCCGTGGTGACAGTGGTAATAAGAGCCTTCTCACGTGGAGCAAGGCTGGCGCCGGCAGCGTTGATGACCGAATCCGCAAGGTCATCTGCATCTACAGTCTGACCAGGTTTGTATTCGAAAAGGCCGTTTAAGTTACCGGATGTGGCCTTCAAAAGCGTGAAACGCACCCTCTGTGCGACAACAGTCAAGGGACCAGGACCTTGGTTGCTTGCGGGCCGAAGAATCACTTGTGGACGGGTACCATCGGTGGCATCGATGTATCCGTTGTAGACTTCATCGTACTTGTCAAAGTTGTTTGTCTGCCACAGCTCATGGCCGGGATCACTCTGGCCGTCCATTATTGTCGTAACATTGACTCGACCACGGGTGCCACAGGTGCCGTCGCCCTGGCATCCAGGCGTGTAAATGGTCACTGAGTAGTTGCCAGATTGTTTGATATCGGGCAAGAAAGTAACGCTTGCAGCATCAGGGTTGATAGGTGAGCCCTGCAGAGTTGTGGTTAGATACTCGGAAGAACTGTCGTGCGATGGGGAAATCTGCCATGATCCAGTCGTGGTCGATTCCGACCTGGACGTAGTAGGACCGCAGTTTTCAGGCTCGTTGAACTCGTTAACTGCATAGGAGTACATGGCGTCTTGGAAGAGCTGGATGCCGTTTAGACCGCCACCTTGGCCCCACCAGTCCGAGATGTCAATCCTGAAGGCATTCATGCCCACGACGTTGACAAAGGTGAACTCCTGCGCAGTGGTGTTGCCCTCGGGTAAGGGGCATCTAGCGTCACAAAAGGCCGGTCGTCCGCTCTCAGGGTCGGTGTAAGTCAGGTTCAGGATTCCACCGTCTGGAAGAGCTGTGAAGCGGAAAGTCTTGCTACCACGGCCCTGAAAGTCCGTGTTGTAGAGCTTCATGCTCGTTGGCTCGAAACCGAAGCCAAAGTCGGCCTTCCAGAATCCGGGTGCTCCGTCGGAAAGCAGCCACGTCGAATCGGCGCCCTGCGTGGAGAAGTCGGCTTTGCATGCGATGCTCTTGGGATCCGAGAATCCGGGCTGGCCAGAGCTCGTCTGGGCGGAGATGTCTGCGCTTCCAATGGGAATGATTTGGGTGTTGTTGTCGCTGGTCACAGTGGATGCATTCATGCCGCCTAGGCCGTTGAACTCTCCTCCGAATATTATGTTGTCATTAGACTGGATTATCGAGTTGATAGGGCCGTTGAAGCCGTTGAACGACAGGTCTTCCCAGCCGTTCTTCCAGATGAGTGCGTTGGATGAGTTTGCGCCTTCCAGACTGCCTCCTACATAGACTTGACTGCCAGCTCTATCGCAGTAGAGTGCGTTGACGGATCCGGTGAGGCCTTCCAGTGCCTCTATGTTGCCGTTGGCAGGGTCGAGCAGCGCAATGCCTCCAGGGGTACTCAGGTCGTCGACACCGGTGAAGTTGCCTGCAAACATGATCCGCTCTGCACCATTTACCTGAAGGGAGCACATGGCCTTGATATCGCCGTC